GGAAAAGACGCAACATTGTCACCATAAATAAATACTAATAATTGATACGAAATAAAAAATAATAAAGTGTTTTTAATATATATCAAAATAATTTAAGATCGTTTCTTTTTTTCATTTTGTTTAGTAAGCAGTGTTTACAATTTTGCTGGTTAGGTATGGGGATTCTTTAAACGATTGTGTGCGTGTGTGAAGTTTATAACAAGAATATGTGAATTCCGGCCAGAGATCAACGACACGTGATAACTACATGTTCCCACAAGTGATGCAAGAACACAACCGCCAGCGACCCACAATCAGCAGACAGGAACATTGCATCAAACCGTATCCCAATTAAACGCTGGCACCGCTCAATCCATTTAATTAAATTGTTGGGGACGTGCAGAATTTATTAATTATGCTTGAAAGAATCAGAAGGAATTTGTGTAGGTTGCATGACTTTCTGCATCCACAACAAATAAATAAACGAAATTTAAAATACGATTAAGAACGAGACATATTCAATTAGAAATTAATATAACATTTATATACAATTCAAACAATATACAAACAGGATAATTGATATATGTTATGTTGGCGAAATGTGTATGAGGTTTTTTTGATTTCAGAATGTCTCTCTTTGTAATTGTTCGTTCATTTACAGTCTTTTTAAGTTTGTGTTGATATTAATAATTGTCGATATTAAGTGTCTCTTTTAGAAGGAGTTTTTAAGAGTGATCTACCTTTAACTGTAATGTAATGTTTTTGTTAAGGTCGTTCGCACGTTGATGTTTACTTAATAAGTAGCGAATATAATTCACTATATGATGTATCTTTGCGCGGAAAAATCGTGATTTAGAGTGACATGGAGTATTTTGGCAAGTTCTCCGTGGGTGTTTGTTACTGACTGCCTGGGGCGGTCAGCGTTTATTTTTATAAGGCCTGAAAGTCCGAAGGTGGCTCACTTGAGTTTTAGCGCAATTTCGTTCTGCACGTGAACTTTCAGTGATGAACCAATGAGATTGTTTGTTTCGCTTAGTGCAGTTTTAATTGGTTGAAGTTTTTCGTACGTAGGCGTAAGATATAGACTGTTCTGTTGCTAGGGTTGAAAGGTAAGGAAAAAAGGACGAGTCTACAAAATCACTGGACATCGTCTACTACATTGCCTAAGGTTTCGTCGTCATCGATCAGCAAGGTGACCATTATTGAAAGTTTTGAAACCAATGACAGTTTGACAGTTATGACTCACTTAGGCCAGAGAACATCGCCCTTGGTCTACGGAAGAAGATTAGTACCGTGTAACCTGATCAGACGAATTATATTCCCCGCTTTTTCGGGCAGACGGGTGATACGAAATTGAATTCGAAATATCCCATTGTCCTCGCGCCCACTATATTTGTGTGGAACATAAGGCACTAAATTCCCCGCAGTCACACCCAAGAAACATAACTCACTTAAGGACTGCTTGGATAGATGTGTGGCGGAATTCCAAACGAGAATGAGAATGTAGCGTGTCTAGGCCTCTCACCACATTTATTTAATTTTTGTTCAAACTGATATAAGAACAAGGAACAAGGCAAAAAGGTATCAATATATATATATATATAAATATATATATATATATATATATATATATATAAATTGTATTCAACAAAGCGTACAATAAAGAATATATACGGAAAAGAAGCATGCAATGAGTCAGACGAAAGTAGTCTCTCTTTGACTATAAAAGTTTATCAATGTTCTCTGAAAAGGAAATGAAAGAGTTATTAGTCTTTTAATATTTTAGACAGTTCTGCCATGCAAGAAGAAAATTATCTAAGTGTGATAGATGTAATTTGAGAGTGAGTGAGAAGATGGTCTCATGTCTTCAACTGACGTGGATTCCAGTAGCAGTCGAAATCTCACTATATATATTGTACGTAAACTGTATAAATGCGGCACAAGGCCAACAAGGGGAAAAGGACGGTCATCAACTGTCTTAAGATTAAACTTAGCTAGTCACAATCACTGACCCAGGCATACAAACAATATTCCTTTCACCAAAACAACGCATTTTTACTTACCATACTTACCTCAACCACCATAATGCCTCAGAGACTCTATTAAGTCCTAAACTAGTCTCCATAGTTACAATTCATTGTCTGTGGGGGGAGGGGAATAAAAACAACAATATACAAAAATATCTAAAAAACCCCAATGATTATTTACATATATGTACAAAACTATATACAAGAATTTAAACAAAAATTTTGTTAGTAGTAAACCCCCCACAGCCCTAACTGTGGCAGAAACATCAGTTAACTGGACGAAATCAATGCGAGACTTTAGAAAACTAAAACATTCGTACAAGCCATGCACTCACTACAAACACACACTCATTCAAACACAACAACAAATACGAAAAACACACTCGAAACGAAAAGCGCCCTGCACCCACCAGAGAACTGATATCACTAACCACCTAACAATGGGAGGGATGGGGAATTAAACAAAAGAAAGAAAAATAGAGTCAGAAACAAGAGGGGCGAATGAGCATACATACCTTAGCTAAGTTAACATGAAAAAGGAGAGAAAAAAAACTAAAACAAAAACCGACCTAAACTAACCTCTACATGGGAAGAGTTGCCAATGTTCAAACCAGAAATCTCAAAATTCTTAATGCCTAATCGGCATCAAAATGCCACTCCAAGTCCAGCACCTTTCACTCGGCAGAGACGCGCAAGACTCACCCATCTTTCGCCAAATTCCAATGGATGGAGTCGTTTCCTTTCCGTCCTGATCTTGTTGGGAAGAAGTAAACTTCTCGCGTCCATGAAATTCCTCCTGTCGCGTCGTCCATATCAAAACATCCATCAAAACATGCTGAATAGAGAACGAACCTCTTAGACAGAATGTCCTCATGGTTGCGAGATAAAAAATAGGTCTCCTATATACAACATACATCCACTCCGAGGCGCTGAAGATCGCGATCGAGTCTCGCCCTTCGAGACTCCAACCTCAGGCCTCGGACATTCAGACTTGCTAACCAGAGTGCCATTATCAGACCGATTTGGTTTGGGACACTGGTTTGAACATGGTCGGGGTAAGGATACCAACAGCCTCTCCCATAGACCCATGGCCCATCTCAGTCACGGAGAGTCTTGAGAGACTCCGCCGATATCCCAGGGAAATGTCAATTTAAGCGCTCTATAGAGGGTGGTGTGAACTAAAACTGGGACGCTCCCTGCACAAAATTGTTTTAAGTGATTGAGTTCTTTATTTTCAATGATTGCTATAAGAGGTGACATTTTGTGAGATGTGAGAGCCTCGTCGAGCATTGCCCAAGCCTGCTTAGCTCCTGTCCCAGTTCTTATTACGGTAGGAACTCTTTGCGCATTCATGAAGTTTTGCGGCCATTCGACATTTAAACCAGCATACCTTCTTATGAAAGAAGGTATTTCAGATCCTTGATCCTTGATGCGATTGCCGTCATCTTTCGCTCGTTTGGCTTGAGCAGGGGAGATCCGGCACACATCCTCCCCGTGTTATAAATAGGTTTCTGAGTTTTTTTCCTTTTATCTTTAAGCTCTTGTGTGGGACTGGAGTGATCCGATTTAAAAACAAAAAAGAAAAGAGGACCAATAAATCGATCAGAAGTTGGAGTAATAAGAGTAAGTTGAGGTATTTTTAAAACGGTTTTTGCTTTTATTGAAATTATTACGACTCTTTCGGAGTAACCTTTACCGCCCGTCACAGAGATTGTTGCAATCAACAATCTCTGTGACGGGCGGTAAAGGAACCAATCAGAAGGCCCCTTACTGAAGCTGCTTCGTCCCGATCTGCGCGTTTATATCTTTCTTCCTCACGTTGGCTTTCAATGAGTAGCACGTACAAAAAAACTGCTCTCGAAAAAACTTCGCCAACAGATCTGTGGAATCCGGGATTGTAGCGCCTACTCTCGTGAAGAATTATCTTCTCAATCCTCAGAAAGACCGGACGCAGAGGCATTGCCACGTCACCATCACAACAACAAAAAATTACAAGAACTCAAAGAACTTTTAACAGAACGTTTCTTTTCTGTGACAAGTCTGCAAAATACCGTTTTTTTGCAACACCATTATTGTTAGGTACCTCCATGCGATCGCTAAAAAAAGAGCTTAGCAATGATGAAAAAGACGCCAAACTTGACGAAAACAAAATTTTACGTCTAAATGCTTATGTTATTAGGAAAGATCAAAGTTTATTTTAATTATTTTTAAAAAATATTCTTTCTTTTTAGAACATTCTAAATTAAAAAAAACCTTGCAAAAAATTGACTATGTTTAGCTTGGTTCAAAATATTTTAAATAAATATAATTTCTGATTTTCTTAAAATAAGTTTTGAAAAAATGATAATTGATATTTAAAAGAATTTCAAAGTGAGATTATCATTTTTTTTTATAAAATGGAAAAAAATGGTTGCCATCTGTCAATTTTGCTGACTCAAAAAACAAGATTTTTAACGAAAATTTCGGACGTGCTTAAAAAATGTAAAAAATGCCCCCAAAATACTTTGATCTTTCCTCTAAAAATAACAAACATTTAGACGATAAAATTTTGTTTTCGTCAAGTTTGGCATATTTTTCATCATGCTATGCTCTTTTTTAGCGATCTCGTGGAGGTACCTAATTTTGTAAACCCTCTTCTTTTCTCCTTCTCATTCTTCTGTTATACTTATGAAAGGTTTGAATCTCAAAGGTTTTTGTTTTCGTTCTTTTTTCTCGCGCCGCGTCACCTCGTTGAATTATCCTTTTTTTTTCTACAACGGTAATTACTTATCTTTTCGAACAAATTTAAACTGGTGAAATAACAACACTTTGCATGTGTATTAAATATTTGTTTTTACTGTGTTGAAAAGACAGACCCTTAATAATGCTTTCAAAAATTGTGTTGCTTGTCGTTTTCAATATGTAAACAATTAGAAGTGAAAGTGATTTGATCCTTTTTTCTAATCAAATGATATTTTTATTTACAGAAACTCTTTTTTTCATATGGATTCAAACATGAAATATTTCACTTTGCGGAGTTTCCTGCTGTTTCTCATTAGTTTACTGAATCCAGAGAGGTTAGTTGAAGGCAGGTCATTAAAACATCCTTGGATTAACAACTTCAGTCTAAATTCCTTAAGTTTTGTGGGAGATGGTGAGTACTAAAATATTTTAATATTTCCGCCGAGAACGTTAGTTTTACTTCGTTCATGTTCACTCATTGAAGAAACGATTATCTTTTAGCAGCTCATAACCTATCTAATGAGCTTTTGTAAATGACTGGCAGAACAAGGATTAAGAAAGAGAGAGAGTAAAAAGACAATCTTTATTAAGAGCCATAAAGGACGGGAAATTATGGAGAGCCATTATCGCTCATGTCCTAAATGGACAAGGCACATAGTATAATAATAATAAATAATATTAATAAAAATAAATTCTCTCTCTCTCTCCCCCACTAACTACTTGGGTGGGATAGGTGAGTTGTTTGTCCGCTCCCTTCCTCGTTAATCATTGCAGAATAATACGAAGGGAAACATTTTAATCACTGGGAAAGAGAGCAGAGACGAAGACGCATATATTTGCAAAGAGTAAAATTGAATATTAACAACCTAGAACTTGAAACCAGTTAATTAGGTTCAGTTTTCAATACCGATTAGGCTGCCTCGCATATCCTTCTCTCTCTTTTTATTTCAATTGGGAAAAATGTATTTGATGGTAGACATGTCCAAACCATTTCAGGCGCACAATTTTCAAATTCGGTATAAGTAATTATTGAACCGAACGGTAAGATTTTATGTAAATAATTGTAAAAAGGTTTTAGTTCTTCACTCCGGGGAAAGGCAGTGTTTATCTTTTTTGTTTTTATTTATCTTTTCAAAAAGCAATATCACAGAACTAGTTCCTTCCTACCTATATTTTGTACATTTCATGATAATTTTCACTGGAATATCACCACGAAAAATAATTTTTTTTTTTTTTTTTACGCTATTAATTTTCCAGGTCCGGTATCGCTGAAAATGAAAATAACTCACGGAAATAGTAACAATAAATAAAGTTTTCGTTGAAAACAAAGGTTATTTTTCAATACATTCATTTATAAGAAATTAGTATAGGATTCTACACCTCGTTTCGTTAGGCAGACCAGATCAGTACCGATATTTCTACTACTAATCCTACTACTAAGGAATTAGTTTACTGTTGTGATTAAAATCTGCCTTACCCGGCGAAGATAAGATTTTTGATGTACTCAGTATTTATCCAAGTACTCCCCACAAGGCGGAATGTGACACAGGGCCGTTTTTTTTTTTTTTTTTTTTTTTTGGCCGTTCGAGCAAAAGTTCCCCGTCGGACCCGTAATAACAGATACAGGCATAGTCCATACGACGAAAATCAAAAACCTTCCCTATTCAGATGTGAAATAAATTACCAACTAGTGTAAGACTTGGATTGATTTAGGTGGATTAGAGCCTCCGAAAGGGTATTTCTACTAATAAGTATTGGCGTAAGAAGTTGTGCCCTAATATAAGTTTGCGGCATAGATCTTTCATTAGTAGACATCTTACTCCTGGTTTAAAGTATCCTTTACTGGATGATCAACTAAACAGTATCCAAGTATTTTTATGTAAAGAGATGGGCTAGCCACCGCCACTTTGTTTAGATAGGGGTAAATTTTCCACGAATTTATTTTCGCAGTTCTAGCGTTAAGGAAGTTTTCTGTGTTTCCCGTGTCAATCAGTGCATTTAGTTGCTGTTCGTTAGCCGTGATTTCTATTGTTGTAGTTAATAAGCAGCCATGTGTATCCAATGATGCCGAACAAGATACCATTTTGCTCCCCTTTTTCTTACTTTTACACATTTTACCGCAATGTCCCAGTTTTGCGCATGTATAGCATTTGTCCCTTCAAGTGAGGCATAACTACCTTACGTGTCGTTTGTCTCTACAGAAAAAAACATGTGCGTTTAGTTAAGGTTGATATTTTCGAAGAACCTAGTATTTCATACGATGGGGGCCAAAATAGGTGAAAGGGTCTCTGACGTTACTGCAATTGTATTTTTAGCATTTTGTCTTGCTAAATCTAGTACTCTTGCCTGGTCATAGGCCTGCTGCAATTAGGTGCTGTTTTCGAGTATTCTTTGTCGGATATCCATGTACAGTAAACCGTTTATAAAGGCATCTCGTATAGCTTCGGTGCGATATTGTTCCGCTGATACCGAAGAAAATGAACAGTCGTTAGTTTTACTAAGGCTTGATAAAATCCGTCAATGGAATGTGAGGACGCCTTGTAGCCAGTAAGTGTCTAGAGACCATTTCATTTTTCTTTTTATATAGATCCTGTCCAGTAGTGTTAAAGCCTCTTTGTAGGAAGATGCATCCACGAAATACACATAAACTTGTGCTGAGACATATTTGGTGAGATAATGTAGCCTAGTAGAACTTTGGTCACAGTCCATACTCAAGAAGTTTATAAAAGTTATTCTTCGGTGAGGACATTCCAATTCGGTATCAGGTGCATTGGGGTCAATAATAAGTTTCCCTGGACAGAGTAAATTAGCCATTATCAAAATGGTTAAAAATGAGAGTTTATTAAATTTTAAAAAGAATTGTTTGAGACAATACGAATTTGCTTAACAGTAAGATTTAATGAATTCGGCATTTATCCACAAGACAGGATGAGGCACAAGGTGGGTTTTTAACGTGGGGCTTTCCATGCGCGTACGCTCGGGCAAAAATTCCCCGTAGACTCCGCATACATGGGGTCAGGTTGATGTCTACCTCCCCAGACGAGATTCTGCCCGTAGGCATAGCCTCATCTGGGTCCCCCCTACCTGAAGGCAGAAAGTTTGATGAGTATTGTCAAACTTTTTGAGGTCCTCCCCACAAAGCATGATGTGGTAAAGGGCCGGCTTCTTACGTGGGTCGTTCCGAGACTGTAGGCTCAGGCAAAAATACACAGGATCGAGTTTCTCCCCATATGAATCTGCCCTTTTTTAACGTGGGCATTCCGAGTCCGTAGGCTCGGGCAAAATTTCCCCGTAATAACGGGGTCGGGTAGCTGTCTACCTTGTTTTTTATTTGTGAGCTAAGTTTAATTTTCTTCTTGTTTGTGCTTCACCCCCCTCCCACCTCAACTTTAATTCGTTTTAATTTTGTTGCTAGTTTTAGTAAATTTCCTTTCTGTTTACACTGTTTATTTTTTCACGTGTTACTTGCTTTTTACTTGCAAGCCTAGTTTAATTTTTCTTTTTGTTGTATTTCACCTTCCCACAACTCTAATTAGTTTTCTTTGTTGCTTTTAATTTTTCTTTAGTTTTCATTCTTTTCTTTTGTTTATGGTTCTATGAATTTGGGGCGAATTTTATAATTATTTGGCTGCCGTGGTGGTGCTTGACTGTACCACCATGGCGTAATTGCCCAAAGCAACCCCCGAGCAGGTGGAACAAGCTGCACCTCTGAAAAAAACGGCCTGGACGGAAAACAGGCTAAAAAAGACACAACTTATTACGCTTAACTTCAGGAAAAATACGAGGAATATGTGAGAGGAAAGGAGTTTCTCACTATTACGGAATCGCTGGACGCTGTCAACACAAGAACAATCTCCCTGCTGAGCACCAACGTACAAAACTCGGAAATAATTTGGGCAAAGGCGTGCAGTCCGACACTACGTATCGTCCCGCAGCAACATTGAAGTGGTGCTGAAGGCGCTTGAACGGCACGAAAATGTTACGGAGGTCAAGATTAACCACGACAAGTCTTCCGGCTTGCGGTTAGGTACCTGGAAGGTAGTCAATCTTCCGGGGCTCTTTGGTTGGACTGACGGGCTCGTCCGCATTCTCGGAGTGTGGTTCGTACCCTGACTCCAGCTTGGTCAGAAGTGCAGGCAAAAGTCGGAGCAGCGGTAGCGACTTGACTCCAAAGGCAGTTGTCCTTGAATGGTAGGGCTGAGGCGTGTGCCACTTACGTCTTTCCGGTTGTCTGTACTTCCTTTCTGTAGGGAACGTAAGAAGGCGATCGTAATTCTGTCATTCATGGGGTGTTTTTGTAGGTTCCCTGTGTGTGTGAGGTATTTTGGTGTATGTAGGAGCGAATGGTAACAGATTCTTATGGTGAATGAGTACATTGTAACGCATGGATGGGTTGTGAATCCGATTAGCTAAGTATAGGATAGGATGACCAGCCTCATGCCATTTCTCATTTCCGCCTTGTGCCACAATTATTGTTTTTCACGATAATAAATTTCAAGGTAACCAAAACTTTGCTTATCAAATTGTCTGCCTTCGAGCGAAGGGGAACTCAGACGAGGCTATGCTTTCGGACAGAGTCTTGACTGGCGAACTAGATAGCTACCGGAACCCATGTATGCGGGGGTCTACGGGGAATTTTTGCCCGAGCGTACGCTCTCGTAAATTGTCCCACGTTAAAAACCGGCCTTGTGTTACATCCCGCCTTGTGAGAAGTTTTGGGTAAATACTGAGGCCACTAAAACTTTGCTTGTCGAACGGGGTATTTTTGCCCGAACGTACTCTCTCGGAATTGTCCCACGTTAAAAACCGACTTTGTGCCACGTTCCGCTCTTTAGGGAGCTCGAGTAAATACCGAGTCCGTCAAAACACTTCTTGTCAAAGTCTTTGCCTTCGGGCGGAGAGGAACTCAGACGAGGGTATGCCTACGAACAGTCTCGCCTGGGGAGGTAGACAGCCTCCTGACCCCATGTATGCTGGGTCTACGGGGAATTTTTACCCGAGCGTACGCTTCTACGTTAAAAACCGGCCTTGTGCCACATTCCGCCTTGTAGAGAGGACTTGGGTAAATACCGAGTCCACGAAACCTCGTCGGAGTCGGACAGTTCACTTAGCTCGCTATTGTCACGACCTCTGTCTTCGGGCAGAGGGAGAATTAGTCCGAATGATGTAAATAGTGTAAATAATTCGATATTTCAAACAAAATTATCGATCTCATCCGGGTTAATTGAGAAAACTGTCATCATTGACAATGGGAAAATTATTGGAAGGTGGTTTTTGCAAATATTCACTAATCTGCTCTCTTCTAAATCGAACTTGAGCAAGCTTGCCTGATTTGGCTTCTCAAAGTTCAGTTCAGCTCGACTAAATTTCTCATTTCGTAACTTGCAGATTTGGGGGTGGAGTGGTGACATTTAAAATAAGCTCATTAATCTATACTAAGAAGAAAATTGATTACATTTGCCTTATATAGCAAACCTAAAATCGTGGCATGCCACTGACAAGATATTTTGTCAATATATTTGACGATAAGACAAAACGCAGAGACAAGGTTTACGTCTTTTTCAAGGGCATTCGTATTAATTCAATAAAAACAGCATAGAATTCAGTTGTAAAATTTCCCCTCCCCACTTTTTATTTACTAATAATCATTACGTATGGCAAAAAACTGTCGATAACTAAAATCTATACTTTTCTTTTCAGAAGGAACATTTGTGCCACTACCAGGAAATCCTTCAGGTAAGAAAAAAAAATTGCAATTGATTAAATATAAGTTTAAAATATAAGGTACGTAGGAATGTTAATTTTGGATTTAGACACTATTGTTGCCATTTTTGGTTTAAGTTTACATCGATAAAGAATTATCTGAATCTGCCATAAAGTAAGTTTCCGAATTTAAAACTTTTGTCATTCAAATGACATAATCCTTAGAATTAGTGTTGTAAATTGTAGATAAAGAAACCAGTTCGTGCACCCACAAATAGTATTAGATTCTTCTGTGTTTGCTGGTAAATGGCACAAGTTTAATTCTAATTAACATATTTCAAATTAATACATTAGTTATGAAAAAGTACCGTTATACGACGTGAGAGACAACTAACACCGTGCCTAAGCTATCACTTGTCAAATTTGTGGAATTTGTGCACATTTTACAAACTACCAAAAAAAAAAAAATCAACGTAAGAGACAAATATTAGTACATAATACCAAAATACTATGCAACACCCACTTCAAGGAAAGACTCAAAATTCGAGAAGCCATTATTATACAAAAGAAACAACTCACATTAAATGTACAAAATAATATGCATAAATATTTGATGCATGCGGTTTACGTCCATTTAACTGTTACACATGACGTCACTTTGGACCAATTCGAAACCAAAAACACCAAGATGTTGCCAATAGAATCGTATCTACCACTCTACTACACTGACAACACCCAGTTCTGGATAATGACTGAGATGGTCGAAAGTGTTAGACAAAAAAAAATTAACTTCGGACAATTTATCCACAATTCTTATGGCGATGTATATCATCTTACTCTAAAATTGGAAAAATACAATGAAAAATTGAATATACTGATCTTATCGGTTGAATCTAATAGAACTCACACACACACACGCACACACACACACACATATATATTTATATACAGATCTTCCATCGCGGATCACCTGATAAATAACCATAATTGTTCCGCTAACTTTAGTATATACTCATTTTCTGTCCTCAGTAAGTCCCACTCAAATTGCCACTTGAAAATATTGGAGGCCATATATATTTCTTCCTTAAAACTTTCTATTAGCATAATACCCTTTAACCTCCACTCCCTAGAGAAGGAGACGAAAAGAGACATGGCGTATGTCGAATAAAGAACACTCTGATTTAAACGTCTATCATGTTTCTGTCGTTATTCCCATTGATATAATGTATTCCTGAAAACAACGAAACATGGTGTCAGGAGTGGGATTTCAAAATGCGGAGGGACTACTGAACCCATTTTATTCGACGACGGACAAATTTAACAAACAAACGGGGACCCGACGCAGCCAACGAACGCACATGGTAATGTAGAAATTTCCTACACGTTACCATCGCCCGACATATTAACATCTGAACCACCTTATCACCAATTATTTAAGCTCGTTCATTACAGTATCACAATTTACTGTATATTTTACCTACGTTTCTATTGTTTTGTTCTCTACACTCACTTAAAATGTTCAACACAAAGCAGAACACAACCCACGTTGAAAAACCAGATGAATCCCCAACAGGACAACAAACCGAAGTTGACCCAATGACCGCCGTGTTGCAAATGCAGCAACAGCAACTCGCCATGCAGGAACATATGACACGCCTATTGGCACGTCTCCTGCCCGCCGAACAATATGCACCCACTCCGTCGCGCCACCAGCGCGTAAAGCCCGAGCGCCCGGTGATTGAATCCAACACATCGGACAATAAATGGATCGTCTTTAGAGATGCATGGTCCCGTTACAAAGAAATGATCCAGCTCACCGACTCATTAGAGACACGAAACGAGCTACGATCTGCATGCAATTCGTCCGTCAACGAAATGCTCTTCAATTTCGTTGGCCCCGATGCCCTTAATAATGCCACAGAGGAACAACTGCTTGAATATATTAAATCCGTTGCCGTGAAATCCGTCCACCCAGAAGTATACCGTCAGCAATTTTTCTCAATGAAGCAGAGCGATGGAGAAACCATTACGTTATTTGTATCCAGATTGAAGTCACAAGCGATGCTTTGTGCCTTCGAAAGACAATGTGGTTGTGATAATCAGCACTGCACAACCCCATTCTCCGAGGACATGATTAAATCCCAAATCATTGACGGCTTACGGGACACCTCCCACCAGAGTAAGATTTTGACGGAAATCAACTCTTTGCCAACCCTAAATGACCTGGTACGACGCCTTTTAATCCTGGAATCCACCATCAGAGCCACAAACCATTTTCAACCAACAGAGGCACCACAAATCGCTCCGATCAAATCTGCATTATCACGAAAATTCCCACCACACAACAAAAACAAAACAAATAACGACAAAAACAAAACACACACAAAAGGCTGCAGGCAATGACCTGCTTGGCGTAAATCATGCCAAAAGTGTGGGACAGAAATCCACTTCTCATATGTATGCCGTGGCATAGCGTCATCTAATGCTGTAATGGAAGATAACCATAACGACACCCAAGATGAAAATGTCTCCCTCATATCAACCATGTATACAGCCTCGATGACTAAATGAAGAAATCTCACATAGTACCTGGACCAACAACCGATTCACTTTAGAAAGTCCAGAACCACCACCGTTTATTAGCGTTAAAATCGCATTAAACACGATTGCACTGAAGAAGTTAGGAAATCTAATTCAAACAGACAAAGCCTCAAACCATTCAGTTAACTGCTACGGCGGATACAGAGGCTCAAACAGTCGGGGAGGATCTGTTGAAGAAACTCGGATGCAATCATAACCAGTTATTGCGTACCGTTTACGTGTTGTAAATGACAACAACCTACCTATCTAAGGAGCCTTAATCACCACAGTATCACATGCTCACAGATAATCTACATTTGTCCAAGAGTTAAGGGCTTATACCTATCACAGACGACCTTAAAGAGGTTGAAGGTTATTGAGAACAACTTTCCATCGTAACTCGGTACTAAAGTAGCCACCACAAAAGAAGACAAAAATAGACTGATGGCACACTAGCCCCATGCGGATGTCCGTACCGAACAGCTTGCCTGCCACTACCAGACAAACTACCACTTCCTGCTACACCTGAATATCGCGAGGAGCTAGAGAACTGGATAAAGTGTCACTTTACCAGCAGTGCATTCAACACACCAGAAGTCGCGGACCATGACAGGAGAACCACTCACCATCTCGTTTCTAGAGAACTACCGACCGACAGCCATACATAAACCAATTCCAGTACCCCACCACTGGAAAGAAGCTGTCAAGTCACAGCTGGATACCGATGTTGCTCTAAACATCATAGAACCAGTACCTGCTGGAACACCAACGACATGGTGCTCCAGAATGATTACAGTTCTCCAAAAAGATGGTGGCCCACGTAGAACGGTAGATCTGCAGGACTTGAATGCAGCTACAAGACGGGAGACACACCACACATCCTCTCTATTTAACCTTGTCAGCACGATACCCCCAGGGAAGAAGAAAACCATTCTCGGTGCCTGGAACGGATAACACAGCGTGCCCCTCTCTGCAAAGGCACGTGATGCCACCACATTCATCACGGAATGGAGCAGATACCGATACTTGCAAGCTCCGCAAGGCTTCCAAGCATCCAACGATGCCTACACGAAGCGATTTGATGACATTACAGAGGGTTTCCCTCGTGTAGCCCGCTGTGTGGATGACTCCATTTTATGGGAGGATGATGTAGAACTATCATTTTGGCACACTATTACATACATCTTGCTTTGTGCTGACAACAGGATCGTCTTCAATCCGGACAAATTTAATTTTGCAAAAGACAATGTGGAATTCACTGGTTTCGTCATCAGCCCAACAGGGTATAAACCGTCTCAGAAATTATTTGAGGGCATCAGAGAATTTCCATCCCCGACAAACATAACAAGGGTTAGATCCTTTTTTGGTCTTATTAACCAGGTTTCATATGCATTCACCCAGGCACCCATCATGTCACCTTTCAGGGAACTGCTTAAACATAATGGCAGATTTTACTGGGACGACACCTTAGAACAACTTTTTCAGCGATCCAAAAATGAAATCCTAAACAGCATCTAGGATGACGTTCGAACATTCGAAATAAATCATCCAACATGTCTGACGATGGATTGGAGTCGAACAGGAATAGAATTTACCCTACTAGAAAAACATTGCGAGTGCCCATCCACAGCAAACCACCTTTGCGGATCACGGCATTGGAAGGTTGTATATGCAGGTTCTCGACTCACTAAACCTGCGGAAAGCCGTTATGCACCCATCGAAGGAGAAGCATTGGCCATAAAATTTGGCTTGGAACGCTACAGAACGTTTGTCTTGGGCTGCCCCCACCTGATACTCGCTATTGATCACAAACCCCTCGTGCCAATATTTAATGATCGCAGCTTAAACGAAATTAAGAACCCCGGAATATTAGACCAGGGAACAGACCTTGATGTACCAATTCAAGGCTATATCCATACCCGGCAGCGCCAATGGTGGGGCAAATGGTATGTCTCGTATCCCCGCACCTATCAGCAAAGTTGCAGCAGCTGAGTGAGACGGTCTGGAAGAGGCGGTGCTAACTGGAATAGAATCCCAGTACAACCAAGAATCATCCCACAGCAAAATGGCATGAATACAACGAGAGGCAAAGGTGGATTACCAGTACCTGAGCCTTGTGGAAACAATTGAAAAAGGTTTCCCTGAACATAAGGAACACACATCCGCCCACATCAGGGAAATCTGGAATATGCAGAACGATTTGTACACAGTTCAGTCACTAGTATTCAAGGAAGGACGTGTATTAATTCCAAGAAAACTACGCCGTGAACTCATTGGCCAGCTCCATATTGGCCACCAAGGGGTTAGCAGCATGAGAAGCAATGCCAGACAACGTTTCTTTTGGCCTGGTATGGGAGCACAATTGCAAGAAAAACGAAATCGGTGCAAACGTTGCAATGAAATTGCTCCATCAAACCCTAATGAATCTGCATTCAAGCGTATTCACACAGACTACCCTTTCCAATCAACGGTCACAAACATTTTCAACATGGCTGGTCGTAAATATATGGTATATGCTGACAGGTACTCAGGTTGGACGGAAGTAGCTTCAACGCACCAAGATGCGAAAGCCTCCAAGATATGCAACAACTTATGCAGGTACTTTGAAAATTATGGTGTACCAGAGGAAATCGCTTGCGATGGTGGACCCCCATACAACTCAGATGAATTGAAGAGATTTTTAAGAACATGGGGTATATCCCAACGAGTGTTCTCAGCTTATTATCCACAAAGCAATGGCAAAGCCGAGGCAGCTGTTAAACACATGAAACGGATACTCACAACAAACCAGTGGTTCACTATATACAGATGGCAAAAGCGCTCCTACTGCATCGCAACATCCCACCGCCTGATTTAGGTGCCTCACCTGCAGAAATTCTGTTTGCTCATCCCTTAAATAACCACCTGCTGAACCGCATAAAATTCTGCCGTGAATGGTTGGAGCTTGCTGATATGCGTGAGAGGGCCGTCAACCAGCGATTCGTTAATAACACCAAGCATACCAAGAGGATTGTAAGTTTATCCAGTTAGGCCCAATAGATAAATTTGATTCTACATTATCTATTGCTAAGTTCCAAAAAGCGTCTGTGGGTTAAAAGTGGGATTTTGCCCACTGACATTTCTTATTTAATTAGACCCTGGGGATCTATTCATCCCCGTCTCTATTATTTAACCAAAACGCAAGGTTGGGATTTCATTGAGACATTTTTGTCTATGATAGGGTCTTCTTAACATGGCGTAGTCAAATGGCTTACCACCATATTGCAGCCAATTTTGGAACAGTATAATTCTTCCTGTATTCGTTTGATTTTTTTTTTTTTTTGACTTTATACAGCATTACCCGTCGACTGACAAATTTATGTGTTCCAGCCTCTTTACCTGCGTCCCTCTTGCGGACACTATTGATAGATGTGCTGATACCTTATATCGTAGCCCGTTTTCCTGTTATTTCTGAAGATGTTTTATCAAACTGATTAAATTTGACACGATGTCGGTCAAATTTAGTTTCGACGGCATCATGTGTAGGCAAATTGATGGTGTTTCATTGCCCCCCCCCCCTTAGGACCTATTTTGGTAAAATCTTTGTAGGATTTCATGAAGACAGTGTATTATCTAGATTTAATAGACCTGATGCTTACTTCCGTTATGTAGATGACAATATTTGTCTTTTCAATAAACGAGACTGAAGCGGACCTTTTTCTTTCGTCCCTAAACAATATTCATCCAGCTCTTAAATTTACACAAGAAAAGGAAATTAATTCTTCCCTTCCCTTTCTTGATATTTTGGTTAGAGGAACTTCTTCGGGTTTTCTTACTTCCGTTTTTCGAAAACCGACGTTTACTGGTTTGTATAGATGTTGGGACTCTTTTTGTCCCGTACAACGTAAAATAAATTTATTTAAGACCATTACTCATAGGGATTTAATGATTTGCTCTAAAACTAAACTAGATGATGAACTCAAGTTTATTACTACTACTCTCTGTAAAAATGCCTATCGGTTTGGCATTGTTCAATCGGTAATTAATAAAATCTCGGAATTCAATATGTGCTTTCCTTGGTTAGGTAGCATCAGTGATAGATATTCTAAGCGAGTTTCTTTAGCAGTTAGAGATTGTTACTTTGCTGTTAACACTCGTGTTGTTTTTCTGCCATACCTATCCTTCCATCCATACGGAAAGACGTTCTACCTCATCTCAATAGTTCTTTGATTTATAGACATTATATGGATAGACAGCGTACGCAATGGAAGGCCTTATCTGTTTCCGCAAGACTTTGCACCATCATACAAAGTTCAAGTAACGCAAGAATAGATGGCTGAAAATTTTCATGACCACATAACCCCTAACATTTGGCCTCTTAACCCTCCAGATCTGAATTCATTGGACTACTACATTTGAACACCCCCATAACACCAAAGATTTCTGAATGCCGCCATAGTCAGAGTAATGTCCGATATGAACCAGGTCCATTTAATTCGAGCATGTAAACGATTTCGATCTCTCTAGAAGCAGTTATTGAAGCTGAGGGTGGCTTTATTGCATAAAATTATAAGAAATATAATGTATTTTTATTCTTATAACATTTGTCAATAATAAAGTTATTATCTATTATTATATATCTGTTTTTCTACAAACATGAATCTGTCCTCAAATACCTTACGCAGCCTTATATAGTGAAATTATTCCGCTGACTTAAAAGGGGAAATTTGTATTAAGCAAGAAATCATTTTTTACGCTTAATTCTAAATACTTATCTTACTTTTTTTCTTTAGAGTTGAAAGAAATTACTATCAAACCAAAATCTCTAAAACTGTCGCGTGAAATTCGTTCTTTGTCCCAAAAAGCTGGTCAAGTGTCTGATGAAAACCGACGAAGTGAAGGTAAGATAATACACGCCTCTGTTGTGTGCTTCTCTAAAACTGTCTTGTGGAATTCATTCTTCGAAATAGGAATAAAAGTTGAAAAAAGATGACTTTAAAATGTTATTAGTCAATAACATGCTTTTTGATAATCGATTAATTTTGAATTATATTAGGTTTATTCTTATAATACTGAAATGCACCTTAGATCAAGAAAAAAGTAAATAAATAAACAGAAGGAAATTGATATTTGCAAAACAATGCAAGTATTATTTGCAGGCACTGACTCCATATTAAATTAAAGCACGTTGAATATCGATTATGGAGATATTTCATTATAAACAAGTTGACGTCGTTTTAATTTAGACGCTGAAATTGATACCTACAAAACTTACAATTGAATAAAACTTATGAAAGCTAATCTTCTTTAAGGTTCTCCATGGTGTAGTCGTTAGCGAGCGAGTCTCGAAGACTATTGAGTTCAATCCTTACTAGATGTCACATATTTGGGGGCTTTGTACGAAACTTAGCTAAAATTAGTAATCATTGAGAAAATAGATTTCTTAAGAATATTCTGCTCACTTTATTAAAAAGAAATTTCAGTTCATTGTTATAATGCAAGGACAACAGTATCAATAATAACAAAGGTTAGTGGTGATTTTATAAATTGCGTTAAGTGGATAATTCCTTAGCATTTAACGCAAGGTTTTCTGATCCGGAAAAGATGATAATCATCACACACACACACACACACACACACACACACACACACACACACACGCACGCATATATGTTTGTGTGTTTGTGTGTGTTTGTGTGTTATATCCCAGGTTGTTGGGATAAACAAAAACGAATGAAAATAAAGACAAGTGTAATACAATAATTTTTTTTTTCATTTCTATTCTTTTTCTTTTTCTCTTCATCACCTTTGTCCCTGACTATCTCACACTCTGACAATATAAAATCTATCAAGAATTGTGATATATTGTAAGAGCATGGACGCAAATCTATCGTGGCTGAACTAGCGATCAAAGCACTTTCCAGGCATTTTCGTCTCAGTGTATTATTTTCTCTTTTAATCAAAGTAGCATTCGCTATGTCAAAACTATGATCCGTTTATGGTGAACAATCAATGTGTTTTATGTGTTGTTATTTAAAATGTCCCTTTTGTGTTCATATAGTCTCTTCTTTAAACTTCTTGAGGTTTCTCCAATGTATTCATTCAGGCAATTCCTGCATTTGATAGAGTAAATTCCTACTTCAAGTTTTGGCTTATTGTTTTGTTTTTTTTTATTGGTCAAGTCTTTTATTGTTTTAGATGTAGTTGTGACAAATTTTATGTTGAGTTTAGATAAATTCTTTTCCGTTACAGTTGTGATAGATTTAGTGGGTAGAATAATATATTTTTTTAATTCTTTGGATTTGTCAGGAAGTACTGTTCTTCTATTTTAGAATATTTTATGAGCTTTTTGTTTCGCATTGAAAATGAAATAGGATATTGAAGGGTCTTGAATGTAAATATTGAGGGCTACAAATTCCGAGTAATGTTAAATAGAATCCAATGATCATCCCGGTAGATTTTATATTGTCACAGTGTGGGATAATCAGGGACAAAGGTGATAGCGAGAAAAAGAAAAAGAATATAGATGAATATGGCTAGATTGAAAAAAAAAATTTCAAAAAATTTTGAAACTACCTGCGTCTCTCGTTTCGTGCACATATGTAGACGTGGCAATGTCAACAAAGCCGAGTCCAATGAAATCTTAATGGATGAAACGTGTCACAAAAACTTTTCCAGTTTGTCATATTTTTCTAAATACTGTTTGTTGATATATAAAATTATACAAAATTATATATATATATATACTCCGTGTGTTCTGTTTTTCAGTTTTCTAATTTTTTACATTTTCTAGAATGTACAAGCATATTAATATATCGTTTGCTATATTTATAGGGGAATAGTGCTCAGTGGTGGATACATACCCTTTAGAAATATAAACAGTGTGGACGTAGGAATTAACATTGCAGGGTGATTGTCATATCAGTTTCACGACTCAATGCGAAATTTAAACTAAAAAGATCGCATTGAGGTGTGAAACTGAGAGTTACAGTATTAATTCCTATACCTACCCGCTCTCTCCCACTCTCTCTCTATCTGGTGAAAGCTATAACAATAATTTTAACACCTCTCCTTAGGACAATCAATTCATCACACACACACACACATATATATATATATATATATATATATATATATATATATATATATATATATATATATATATACTCATCGGTCTCTTTATTAGTGCCAGGTTGGATTCCCTTTTGCCATTAGAACAACCTTAGTTTTTCTTGGAATGGATTCGACGATGTTCTGGAATTACTCTTTCGAAATTTGAGTGCATGCTGTTATTATGCCACCTCCCTATAATTCCTCTAAATTGGTTGTCTGCCCATCCAGGATTTGAATCTCTCTTTCCACTACATCCTAAAGGTGCACTACGGATTTGAGATCCAGTGACTGTGGAAGCTACTCTAACACTAAAAACCCATTGCTTTGTTCCATTAAACAATTTACCGCTATTATTTAATTGTGACACGGTGCTTTATCCTGCTGAAAGTTACCACTAGAAGATGGATACACTGTAATCATAAAATTGAGGCACGTAATCAGCCACAATATGTAGATAGTCTGCAGCGTTTTGTTGGTACCAATTGTCCTAATGTTCCTACTTTTGCCAAGACAAGACTTCTATCAGAAGAGAAAACTCAGGCAGTAAAGAGGAAATTTTTGAAATTACAGAACAGTGGTGTCATTACGCCTTCTGATAGCGAATAGGCTAGCTCTCTTCACGTTGTTAAAAAGCCAGGTGGCAATTTCAGATGTTGCGGTGATTACCGCGCATTAAACAACATTACAAAAAGTGATAAATACCACATCCCGATAATTAATTCAATTGCTTATATACTAGCCAACAAAACAAGATTTAGCAAAATCGACATGGTATCAAATCAAAATGCACGCGGCTGTTATAAAAAAACAACACTTATTTCTCTTCTCGGATTGCATGAACACAAATACATGCCAATTGGACTAAAGAATGCAGCATCCACTTTTCAAAGATACGTGGACAAGACTTTTAAACATGTTGACTGTGTATTTACATACATTCTTATTTTCAGCGATGATTCTCCAGCACATAAAAAAGACATTGAAACTGTTATAAAATCCTACAGGAAAATAATAAAAAATTTCAATAACAAATGAACATAATGTGACTTCAGTCGATTTTTTGGTTTATAATATTAGCTATGGCATTATTAGACTTACACAATGCAATGTACATTACAGAATTTTTCCCCTCCTAAGAACAGTAAGAATCTTCATCGTTTTTAGGCATGGTACATTTTTATAGAAAATGAATCCCAAATTTTGCAGATATAGTCATGTCATAAACAGAAAATACGTATATGCAGTAATACTAAGTTTACATTAAATGACTTGGAATTGCAATCATTTAACAATATTAAAAGCACAATCACTAAATTTCCGTCGTTAGCTCACCAACGGTCTGATTGTACAGAATATCAGTTGATTATTGATTTCAGTAATTATACAATTGGTGCAGCTCTACATCAAATAATTGAAAGAGCCCCAATTCCTATAGGCTTCTTCTCTAAAAAGTTAACTCAAACGCAATCTAGGCATTCGACTTTCGATAGGGAACTTTTTGCAGCATATTCAGCTACGTTATATTTTAAACCTATTATCGAAGGAAAACAAGTTTTATTAATAACTGAGTTTTGTGTGGCGCATACCGTAGTCTAAACCCTGCTAAGTCAGATAGACAACAACGGCAATTAGCAAATCTCACAGAATTTTTATCAGATATAAGCCACATAAAGGGAGATCAAAATATTACAGCTGATTGCTTGTCTAGACATACCATACAAATTATGGTAGATCTGTGTGACTTGCCAGCTATAGCTGCTACAGCAACTTAAGGACCCTGAGTTACAAAAATTTCCAGACTTAAATAAATACAAATTTAGTACTGATAATAATAGTTCCATATACTGTGATAATGCTACCTGTGTTCCCAGATCATATATACCTGATAAATTACGAAAATCTATTTTCGATCATATTTACGCAATATCACACCCAGGAATTAAAACCTGGTGTAAACTTATCAAAACAAGATTTTTTGGCCTCATATGGACAAGAGAATTAAAAGAAATGTGTAATAATAAGCAAAATTCACAGACATACTAAATCTGCTATTCACCCTATTGAATTGCCTACTATTCGCTTTAATACGGTTCAATTGGATGTAATTGGTCCACTCACGGTTACTAAGAGACGCTATGAAAAATCCTCCTTACAGATACGTGTTAGCATGTACTGACCGCACAAATGAGTTGATCGAAACAGAACCATTACCAGATATAACAGCACGCTCTATGGCCAGTGAATTCGTTCATGCGTGGTTCACACGTTGGGTTGTTCTACTTTACGTGATAATCGTAGTACTCAGTTTGAGAGCGAATTTTTCCAGAGATAGCTTCAATAGTTGGCTTCTATAGGTTGCGCACGATTAGTTACCGAACGAACAGAATGATCGAACGTGCACATTGAACAATCAAGACAGCATTAATAGCTAGAAAGTCATAGAGTCATAGCTGGACGCACCTGACTCTTCTAATACTTCACCCTTCTTTACAGGAACGCATATAATGTGTTATGGGGTCCACGCCTTTTTTCCATACAAGTGGACTCGACCAGTGTGTACTGGTACTGCTGCCGTTAAATACCCAGAGTCAGTCAGAGTAGTGAGTAGAGAGCAGTGATTGTGATTGAGTTGGAGTTGGAGATAGAATGACTAATGCATGGAATAATAATACAACACAAAATGTACTTAGAACAAAATGTATTGAAACAAGAAAGTGTACACAATATTTACATATAGTCTTTTGTATATTCTTGGGAAGACCGTTCCTGGAGAATGTGTTGACTTAGT